GATGTAGCCATGTGCTATTCAGCAGCAGGAGGGCACAGCTCGCGTAATATTAATCTCAGTCACAATTTTGGCTTCGAAATGAACACGATCGACTGCAATATTGACACACAGAATGTTTGCTCTGCTCTGCGTATCAAATCAAGTGCTTCCTCAACTAAAAGCCAGCCAACAGGGAGCAATGGAGATGTTTTGGCTCCGGTTTTTGGGGAGCTGTCATGCCACTGCCTTTGCACCCCTGCAGTGGCAGCTTGTGCAAAAAAAAAAAAACTCTGGATGTTGTGGCTGCAGTCCAGAGTTGAAGAGTAATTTTCAAGCGAGCGCAGACGAGCAAAATGAAAATGAAACGTCTGCAGCAGAAGGTGAAGAGCTGGTCTCTCGAAATGGATCGTCATCTGTTATGTGGAAGTATTTTAGATTTCGGGCAAGTGATGTTAAGCATGAAGAAATCAAAATAATGCGTGAGACTTGTGTGTGCACAGCAGAGCAACACATTTTTAACCAACTAAAAAGAAAAAAACCCACCACAAACTGCAGTATGTAGAACGCATGAAGGTCAGTAATCGTCTGGTATCAATTTAAATATCTTCTACGGCGTGTCACAATATTTTGCAGTGTGTGTTGATTTAATTTAGGTTAAAATGCTTTGGCACAATTTTTAAACGCTTGTGGTCTGTGAGAAAATGCAGTGTACATGTGTCGTCATGCAAAGAGTTTGCACATTTGCAGGAGTTGCAAGCAAAAGCAGTGCTCTGTTTAAATTGTAAAGAATGCAAAGTGATGTAAGAGTGGTCATAGTGCCCCAAATCTGGTGCTTGCTTTTTAAATTGAACCTCTGATGCAGGATTAGTGAATGAAATAGTGGTTTTAGACACACCTTAGCTGTCCCTATGTTCTCTTGGTATGACCTCCACAAGTTAACATTTCTTGGAGGCATTCACACATTCTATATCTGTTCTCTTTCCCCTCGTTTGTCTGTCCCGATTCCTTCACTTCCTTTGTTTTCTCTTGAGAAAACTGACAATATACTGTTTGTTTCTGTTTGTCTGTGCATGTGATGCCTAGTTTGCTCTTTCCGGCTGCCATCTTTGTGGAATTTCTAGTTCAGGAATGACGGTCTGGTCAAGAATAGCAGCGTCCTCGCTATGACCCAGTGGACCAGTGTCGCATACAATCAGACTGAGCGTGCTTGCGTGTGTCAGAAAGGATCAGAGTTTGTCTTTTTGTTGGTTGAAATGCTGGTCATTGTTGGCCATGTGGAAACTGGGTCTAACGGGTTCAATAGACAGAAAATCTGCGCGTGTTTCATTGTCATATCTGAGCCTCGGCCGGTGTGTTTACGCTGAATTCATGCAATAGGATATTCATGCACCGGTGGCGTTCATGTTTGTGCATGTGGCGTGTGTGTACATTGGTCAATTTATAGGCATTTCCCCCCGCTATGCCTGTTTTGTACTTCACGGCAGCTGTGCGGTCGAACAGCCATGAATGGCATCTTTCTCCCCCCGTTTGTACTCACTGTTCTTTCTCTCTGGCGCAATAGGACACATACCCAGCCGATGGGACAAAACAACAACAAATCAATTCCCTCAGGAGCGAACACCTTTTCCCCGTCTCCTCTGCGCATCATTTGTTGGTTAGCCAGGCCGGACAGTTGACAGACAGATAGACTGATGACAGGCAGTTAGAGACAGACGGTCAGACGGCAGCTGGCTTGTGGATCGACAGGCGGGAAGCTTTCATTTCACAGCAGAAAAAAAAAAAAGGAAAAAAAAGAAAAAAGCGGTGACTTGAAACTGAATAATTTAGCTCAATGCAGCTGGGGAAGTAAGTTGGATAATTCATGCATTGGGCACACTTTGTGAGTGAAAGTGCGCTCGCTGTGATTGGTCTCAGTGTGCATGTGTGAGTGATTGGGCTTTGAATGAATTACAAAAAAGTAGGCAAGCGTCGGGCATCTCTGCATGTTTGTGTTTGTGTGCATGCGGTGGGTCTTTGAATGTATTACAAAGTCAGATGTGCACTTGTGACAAATCCCTTGTAAAGATGGTGGTTCTGCAGCTCGAGGGATAACAAGGAGCCGGCGAAGCCTCAGCATGAAATGCAAAGGACACCGACTAACACACTCATGCAGAGTTACAGACGGCGCAGAGGGTTGTTTCATCAGCAGACTTGATCTCAATGTCGACATGAGGCAGCGGGCTGATGAGTAATTCTGCTGAATCCTCTCTTGGGGTGGTGGGCTATTCTGCAAGAGGAAAAAAAAGAGTCCCAAAAGTGAAAAAAATGCCATCAGCAATCAACCTCTTGTTTGGAGGTTATGTCTTTCTCAGAGCGCAACTTAGTCTATTATTAAAGTGCAACATTTTTTAAAATCAGAAATAGCCTCATATCTACAAGAAAAAGTTCATTCATACCATGAATGATTAAAACACAAAATATGTGCATTTCAAAGTGTATCTTGTAAATGAAATTCAAAAAATGTATGCTTTACATAACTAGAATCATTGGAATCTAACTCCATAAGATGAATTTCTTGAGGCACTTAATTGCAGTTGAATTCATAGTTATTAGTAGTTTGTGAAACATGACCAGTGTGTTTTTGTGCTTTAGCTCTCTAGGTACAAGCCCCTGTTCCTTTAAACTGTCCAGGATTAAATATAATCCCTTCCCAGCGAGGGGGAAACTCTCTCAGCGCAGTTTGGGTGGTGCGTTCAGGTACAGTGGATGAGCCCTGCAGGCACAAGACATGAAATTCTCCCTAAACACTTTAGCTGTGGCGGGATCCCATCTGCATGGCGGGGACTCTTGTTATATATTTCCACTCCAAATCCCAGTTCAATTGCATGTGTGTGTCCATGTGTGAATGGGTATCTGTGTGTGTCCATGTGTGTCCTGCATACATTGCTGTTTGAATAGGCTGCTTGTGCGAGCTCGCTGCCCGTGTAGCAGCAGCAGCAAGAACATTTGTAGACATTTCTGCACTTTGCGCGTTGATGGATCCGTCAGTGTTTACATTTCTGTGCTCGTATGAACATCGGCGTTCGGCGGTTGATGTGTCTGTTTGTACGTGCAGGATTAGCAGCATGGCTCAATTCATCTTGTGCATGTGTGCGGCAGTTAGCAAGTCAGCGGGACGCGGTGCTATTTTAAAGAGTTGGATGAAGGTCTGTCGGCTGACTCTCTCACAGCACTTAATACGAAAGTGGGATGCAAATTTTAACAGTTTCCTCAAGATATAGCCCACCACACTAATACTCAATCATCTATTCGTCTTTAAAACAAATGAAACACATATACATATTAATAAAACCATCATTAACTGCTGACACTTAATGCTAATAAGGTGACATTAGGAATTTAGAGAACAGATAAACACCAGGTTAATTATAAATTAAGTAACAAGAATTAATGACATCATTTTAAATTGCTATTGAATGATTACCCTGATAAAATCCTAAATATTAAACAAAGCAAACAAGCTTTGCTCTTCCACAGTAAATAAGCTGTAATGTTATTCATCTTTTCATGGTTCTGATACCTGATGATGGACTGACTTGTTCTCCAGTTAACGTCAGTCCAGCTGCTGGAAACAGCTGCTCAGCCACACCAGATGTACACGATTACTGTTGAGGCAGTTTATCAGTCCAGTATATGTGTCTCGGTTTACTGCCACCTCTAAAATGTATTTATACTCAGAGCAGAGCGTCGCCGATGAATGTTGTTGGACGTCCTGCTACTCCTGACCATCAGCAGTAGAACAGAGTTATATATCAACGGGCCGATGTCATTGGCTGATATTGGCCAATAAGAAATATATTGGTATTAGTGTGTATGTTGTCTGAAAACTTTTGATTTTTGATTTTTACACGCAACATGATACCAGAAAGGTGCATGTGGTAACTTAGAAATGGTTGTATCACACAATCTCACCATCAGAGTGGCTTCAACCCTGTTGTTTACTCTGTTCTCAACACTGCTCAGCTGAGCAGATGTTTGTGTGGAGTCGGGCAGTGTCTCCGAGGTAAGCTGCTAACTAGTTTGCCAAAGACATTGTTTGAAACTTAGTAAACTACAGCTTTACCTTGCAGAGTTAATCAGCAAACACACCTGAAGCTTCATTATAACAGAAACCACTCAGAACTCTCTGTGCTTGTCTTCTTTGATAATATACTTCTTTCTCAGTGTCATCTATTATATGTAACAGCTCTTTCTCTGTTTTTATACCTTTCCTTAAAGATGCAAAACATATATCCAATGCATCTTTATCAGAACACAAAATGTGTGTTGAGTCCATTTTAAACTGACCCCTACTTGCACTGTTCATAAAAACATTTTTGCATCCACTTTCTAAGCTTCAGCATGTAAATATGGGTTCAATGAGAGGTTGTGTAAGTCTATAGAGATATTATTTTAACACCTGTGCTGCTGTATGTGTCCACCGGCCAGTCGTCTCTCGGCGGGCGATGAATCACCGCAGTAAACAGCTTGGGTTGAATCAAATACAGGCTGCTCCTGGTATCGCTGCATCATACGAAATGATTTATGACCCCTCTGTGTTCAGGATTAAATGGCCAGTGTTGTATCTCTGCTAAAGTCTCTGCATTATTATTGCTATAACTGTCATTTCTTGTGCCTCGGGTTATATTGTGGTAAAAGTTTTGCCTTAAAATAGTGTTTTTTTTTAAAATAAAAAAACAATTTTTTGTTACTCATAATGTATTTATGTAAGTTTGTTTTGTGTATTTTAGCTGGTTCAGAAACACTGAGATATTTTATAAGCTTTGATTTTTATTTCACCTACACAGATTATTGATTGCACCTCCTCTCTCTCTAACTCTCTCTCACTTTCTGTGATTTATTTATTTATATCCTGATTTTTTAGAAGTGCTTTGCTTTGTATCACTCTGCTCATGTCCTAGGACCTCTCTCTAAGTCTGCATAACCAAGCTCAAGCATTAAAAAAGACTCATGTGGGTGTTTTGGACTTCTTTCTCTTGCAGTGCTGGCCAGTTTCCGAGGGACCGTCCAGCATGGCCTCCCGCTGGAAATTGGAGACACGGTGCAGATCCTGGAGAAATGTGAAGGTACAATGCACACGGAGCAGTTATTCTGTATCCATTAGCTTAGCAATTAGCTGCTTTCTATGAGGGGGAAAACAAAACAGAATTAAAACAGAACAGTGCATGCAAGGAAATCAATTGCTTCGCTTGAGCAGTGAGGTGAAGACGTACAAAAATATTACCAGCACTTCTGCTTTCCATTAGGCAGACAGATTAAAGGAATCAGTGTCTTAGCTGTGGCACGTGTGGACTTCCCTCGTTAAATCCAGTACATAGTGATGCATGTAAATACACACATATTTATCCACAGATTTGTGAGTGCAGCCACCGACTTGCAACAATGTGGGCTTCTCGTACCTAAAGTTCACCAGGCGGACTTCACATTTCTCACATACATCCAGATGCAGTGTGCATACAAAATGAGCAATGTCTTGTCTGTGATGAAGGCCTGTGGAAATTCATGTTTGCTGCTGTTTCCTGCACCACAAACTGGCTGCTTCTCCCGCCTTCCTGCCCACACTCAGTCTGTTTTTCTCCTTTAGTTGCTTTTTCTTACACTCTCTCTCTCTCTCTCTCTTTCTCCTCTCCTGCCTGTGTATGTTAAGATGGTTTTTATATCTCCTTCTCTCTCGCTGTCTTCCTGTTTTTCCGTCGGAGGCCTGCTTTAATTTCTACAACAATTGTGGATGCATTTCACAGCCTCTTATTCACACCTATGTCTTATTCACACAAATATGGAACCACGCTCGAATGCGTGCACACCTCCCTCTTCCGGAGCTCTTGACACACTCACTTCCTGTTGGGAGACAGAAACGCACAAACCGAGAGACCGGCAGCCAGTCAGTCGTGCAGCTAGCCGGCCAGAGGGATGTGATATTGTGGTAAAAGGCCCAAAGGAAGTAGACAATAGCACAGCCAGCGGAATGCTTGGCCCAGAAGGGTGGAACTAAATCAAAATCCTGCCAGCAGCGAAGAGGCTGAGAGACAGGCTGCTGACAGCAGAGGAGACAGACTAATGGCTCTGCCTCATGTTGATACTGTTGACACTTCAAAACACAGGAGCTTACAGAAGCGAACGTGTCTGCACTGACATGTGGCTGCTGCCTGTAAATGCACCGCCTCAGTAATTGATTTTTGACTCGGCCTCTTCAGTGGCTCCTTCGTGAACTTTTGTTAAGTTTCTGACAGCAGTGAATACATTAGGCTGACTGCGAGGTATATAAACTGTGATTTAAAATATCCCCAAACCGCTCTGTCTTGTCTCACGTTCCCCTGCAGCCAGCCTGTGGAACTATAGCGTGGCTTTCGGCCATGGCAAAGAACTGTCACAGCGTTTGACCTGAAAAAAAAATGACTCATTCAGGAAATACTGAGCATGTGTTCCACAATTCCAACCCAGACGCATTACTCAATACTATGGGTATATATATATATATAATACAGAGCATGCATGAATGAAACAAATCAGGAAGAACATACTACCTAAGTCGCAGATGTTCTGGCAACACCCGACGGTGATTACAATAATCTATTACATTTACATTTCAGCTATTTAGATAATGCTCTTATCTGGAGGGACTTACAATGGGATGCAACAGTGGAAGGAGCTTAAATTGTCCGTTTGGAAAAGAGCATCAGCTCAAGCCCTCTAAATGTAAATTGTATTAGATTGTTTCTATCAGTGTTGGAATTTGCAAAAAACAAAAACAACAAACACCCAGAACGTACTGATTTGGCTTCAGCCCAGATTGGTAATGGTGTGAGAAGAGTGTTAGTGACTGCAAACCACTGCTATTTTAGCTTTCTCTCTGTGTTTGCTTTTGTTAACATCTGTGAAAACCAGTCATGCTCTTATTTATAGCGTTCTCAGCCGCTCTCTGTGTTACAGGTTTCTTCCCTTCACCCGCTTGTGGTCACTGCAAGCATATGCTGTTTTTTTTTGACTGCTGCTTTGTCACATTAAATGTAATCTAAAATGACGTTGTTATTGGCGGTGGGAGTATTCAGCTGGCAGTAAGATGCCTACAGAAGTTAGCCATCTGGTAATATTTAAGTCCACTTTTCAGGGGACGGAATAAAATGAACGTCTGTTGGACTTGTTACAAAAGTGGGAAGAATGGGATCATTTTGATGAATTCACTGTCAAAACACTTATACATCTTCTCTCCTATCCTTATTCTGCTCCTATTAAATTTACAGTTTTTCATACTTCTCTACCTCATCTGTTCCGCAGGTCATAAAAATATAAATGTGTAATATTAATAGTGACACGCTGGTAATTAAAACGGTGCTTTGTGTCTGCAGGATGGTACCGAGGATTCATCCTGAAGAACCCGAACGTAAAGGTGAGCATGCTTGTCCGTGGTTTGTTTGTACCCTCGTTAAACCCCGATGCCCTCTTTTCTCATCATCGAACAGTACGTTAGCTGACAGAGCGCATATTTTCAAATTGAAAGTCTCCCTCAGGCCTGTCATTGTTAGCCAAAACTAGCAATTTCACCAGCTGAGATGACAACTGTCAGCGGCAGATGTTATCAGCGACGCCTCTGCTTTTCCTACTATGACAAGTCACAATGCCTGCTCGTTCGCTGAAACCATGTGATTTCCCGCAGCGCTCCACCCAACTTGAGCTGAAGTAGAGGTATAATCAGCCACATCTAATCAGACAAGAGAAAACACCTGTGTGCACCTGCAGAACGGCGGAGGAGCAAAATGACTTTTTCGGATGAGCAGACGTGCCTAAGTTACTGTATGTGCAGAACAGACTGACGGTATGGAGAAACAGAGTCACAGTGTTACGTGAGCTAACTGAAAACTAAAGAATATACATCTAAGAAGATGAATAGCTTCCAGTTGCCACCAGTCACTGCTAGGACCTGGAACATAAAACTTATCAACCAAAGTTACTATCCTGTAGCTGGGGATGTCTGATGGCATAAAAATGTAACATCTATCAATATCGTTTGTTTTGCCAGTAATGAAAACCAATAAAATAACGCCTGGATTTCTCCAGCATTTACCAGCGTGCAAATGATGACGACATCAAACTGGGTCGTGAAGCGTGTAAACAAGTGTGGCTGCAGTAACCAACATATATCGGTATCGGTTGATATCAGATTTGGAAATTGAGAGTTGGGCGATATCAGCATATCGCATGTTGAACTGCTGGCGGTTGGTTTGCAGCCGGGAGAATTTTCACACGTGCAGTTTACATCCCTCCTCGGGTGATGCTGCTGCAGCCTGTGAACTCATCCATAGTTCAGTGTCCCAGCTGTAAACATCACACCCTCAGTCTCTGATCGACATCTCAGGAGACTTTAATCATACGTCGCTCTCTACCACTCTCCCTACATTCAGTCAGTATGTAGACTGCCCAACTGGAGACGGTGGGGCCTTGGACCTGCTGTGTGCGGACACCAGGATGCATATTACTTAGTTATTATTATTTTCTTGTACTTTCTATATTTTTGGATGCCTACTGTGGCGTGTACATTTCCCCCAATGGGGGATCAATAAAAAAGTATTCTATTCTATTCTATTCTATATTGCCAAAAAAGCCAATATTGGACGTCCCCACTTGTAACACATATTGTGCATTTAATAGTAAGTTTTGTGATGTCTGTTACAGAAAGCTTTGCTAATACAAACACCACAATAAGAAAAAAATGCTATTTACACTCACGTTCTGATTGTTGGCATTTATAAAGGTGTTACAAGAATAAAACGAAAACATGCAAAATGTCAACTCGATGAAGGCTCGTACAAACGTGACACTATTTGACACCAGTAACTCTTTATCTGATTACAGTTTGAAAACAAAACCATATGCTTGCTCCAAACCAACCAACCAAACCATTACTGGGAATTAAACTCTACATCTCGTGCACTAAATACACCACACAAAAGACAAAAAATGCCATGCGCTAGCAGTCTGAGTGCATGTGGTTTTTAAAGCTGTGCAGAAGAACAGGCCATCATATCAGCCAAGTGAGGAGTTAGGTGTTGCATTTATCCTCAGATGCTTCAACCTAAGTTCTGCTTTGATCTCTTTAAGTCAATAGGGAGCAACATCCAGTTTATTAGCATCAAACAGCATGCGCACACATCTTTTTTCGTCTGCTAAATCCCATTGCTACTTGCTTTTATCTTTGTCTGCTCCCCTCTCCCTCCGATCTCCTTTTTATTTATATTTTTTTCAACCTGCGAACAGCTCCGTATCGATTACGTGCGTCATTTGCACGTGCACAATGCTAATTACACCGCAAGCAAACGACTCGGGGAGCATTCTCATTAACCTGTAAATCTTCTGCCCAAAGGGGATCTTTCCATCCAGCTACATCCACTTGAAGAATGCCCACGTCAAGAACAAAGGGTAAGCAGTGTCACGTGCTGTTGTTGTTGTTGTCTGTTTCCATTTCTGTGCGCGCCGGCTGTCTGATTCTCATGCATGTGTTTGCAGGCAATTTGAGACCGTCATCCCCGTTGAAGACTCCGTCATCACGGAGATGACGTCAACTCTGCGAGACTGGGGTGCCATGTGGAAACAGCTCTATGTGGTAAGAACTGCCAAACACAACCCCACACACACACACTTTACATCGATTTAAATATCACGGCTCCTTAAGCGAAAGCGCCCTTTTTTTTTTTTTTAGTTTTCTCATGCAGGGAGTTTATTTGGTAATTCCAAAGCTGCAAACAGTCAGAGCTTTTTCATACACATTCATTAGCTGGATTGATTGTGTTTGTGGCCTATTAAGCTATCTGGGGTGCTGATTAAATTGAGCTGATGAATACTTGCAGATCAAAGTGCATAAATTTGCGGCAAAAAGCAGCAGGACACTGGAGCTAATTTGCACAAATCCATTTTAAGCCCCTCTGTCTGCTTCTCTCTCCGGGTCGCCCTCTTCTTCTCAGTGTCGATTTGGTTCTCTAATGTGCGCTCTGTCACTCTTCATGTTTTCACTTATGTTTTTGGGGAGGCGGTGTTGATGCAACTGTATATTTTCATCTCCTTATCTGTGCCTTCCCTTCTGCCATCCTCATTCTGTCTTTCCCTTCTTGTCAATTTCCCTTTCATTCATCGCCTTTGACTGAATCGCTGCTCGTTTTTTTTTCACCCTCTTCCCATTGTGTTCTCCTCCCACAGAAGAACGAAGGGGATTTGTTCCATCGGCTTTGGCACGTGATGAATGAAATCTTGGACCTGAGGAGGCAGGTGCTGGTGGGCCACCTCACTCACGACCGCATGAGGGACGTCAAGCAGCACATCACGGCGAGGTTGGACTGGGGCAACGAGTGAGTAGAAGAAGGGCCGAGAGGGAGACGACCTCTGCTTTCAATTGTCCAGATTCGGGGGCGCTTGTTTTTGAACACACAAGAAGCGTATTGATGTTTGTTTTTCATTTGATTAATAATTCATCGCTTAAACTTTGCGTCTCTGGCTGACCACTTGTGTACGACACATTCTTGGATCGATTTTCTCTCCCTTCATTTTACAGCGCTGTGTAACAATCAAATTTCAGGGACTTGACGCTTGCTTGCGACCAATCCATCACAAAGAACAGTCTGCCAGCCTATTTTTGGAATGATTAGTGATAGGAGGGTAACATTTTAAGGGCTTGCTTTTGGACGATTTCAGAGTTACTTCCCACAGTTAAAGTAAGCTCCCATGTTTGCATATTGACGGCATCCGTTAGCCAGTTTCCCACTTTTCTTAGAAACTTTGGACCCTTATCTGCGATGACTGGAGGGACTAAGAGAAAGGAGATATTTAGTGAACAAAATTTATTTTTTCTCCTTTTTTAAAGCGGTTATAGACTGAAGATGTCACACTCCATTTCCGCCTCTGCCTATTTCTTGAATCTATTAATTACAACAAGAGTCAACAGCAAATTACAAATGACAACCTGAATCTATTGTCACAACCTGAACTAATTGTTGCTCTGTAGTGGTTGGAAATTGCAGTGCCAGTATACCAATCGGGCTTTAAGTCATTACTGTTTTTGACATGTGATGAAAGGAGAAGCAAGGGTACTTTCAGTTCCAATTTTGCCAGCTAGGTTTAGTAATTATTGGAGAAGCACTGACCTTAAACAGTATTCTCTCTTTCCCCTATTTGGTAAATGGTAAAATCTCTATATCTTACTGGACATAACTGATCGTAACACTTTCTATGTATGGTAACATGAGAGCAGTGATTGCCGTGGCTGAATGACCGTGACTGATAGCGGAAAGAATGAGTTGTATGACACTAACTATATTTATTATGGCTCAATCATATAACGACAGCCAGTATCTAACCCTCGTGGACTTATGCGTTACAAGCTCCTAGAAGTCCTTAAAAATCCATAATTAGTCAAACGCATGTGATTTCCCAACAACACAGAAATGCTTTTCAACCGCTGACTCTGAGGGGGTGTGTCCACAAAAGCATTTTATTTATTTTTTGCCAGCTGAAAATGCTAAACGCTCTTCCAGAAAATGTCCAGCTGGGAGTGATTGAGTGCACTTTGCAGGTGCTGCTGAGACGCTTCGGTTGCTACAATGCCAAACCTCCACAGAAGTGATGTATCGCAATTACCGATCAACTGGTTGACTCGAGATGATTGCTGGCAGCCTGGTCGGCCCATAGCGAAGGAAATGTTCCTCCAAGTGTTGCTTTTTACGGTGGTATTGTGATTGTCGAGGGACATTGTCTTGTACAGACATGGCTTCTTAGAGCAGCAGTATTAACCTGGCCTTCATTGTTGTTCAGGTGTTCAATATAGATAGATAGATAGATAGATAGATAGATACATAGATAGATAGATAGATAGATAGATAGATAGATAGATAGATAGATTTAGCATTATGTAAATACATGACGCTCCTATTGCAAACAACTAAAAAAATACGCTGGCTTCAGGTGTGAAATGCTTTGGTGAACACTTCCCCCTAAAGCTCAGATGTATGCGTTTCACTGAATTGTTCCTAATCCCTGCTCACAGTTGCATAACCACATTACTGTATGGCGTTATATTTTCTGCAGAATTAACGGGCAAGATAAATAAACCTTTCACTGTGAGGGATAACCTGCAGAGAGTTTAAAGTCTCTGAAAGTATTTTTTCATTACACCTTTCAGGAAGGTGGAGTGATCGATCTAAAACCCTGCTATGCTTTGGGAAATTACCATCAATAATATAAGTCAGGTTTGTACTTAATGAACCAAAGTAAAACCTATAAATCCACCAGTGTGGCCTTCTAACGAGTCGGTTCATCCAGCATTAGCGGTTCAGCTCCGCTAATGTGTGAAGCAAACAAAACTAAAAATAAATGCGTCTCATTTCACATTTCTTTCTCAGTTTCTTTCCTTGAGCTTCCTGCTGCTCTCCAGCTTGTCTTCACTTTCTTTTCTCTCTCTCTCTCTCTCTGACTCTTCTTCTCTCCTCTGTCTTTTGTTGTCACCTCCACTCCCTGCAGGCAAACTCCTCACTCAATCAAGAAACTCTCTCCATCCTTCCTCTCGCTCGCTTCTTTCTTTCCTCTCCCCATGCCGTCGGGGTGAAACCAGAAAAAAAAAAATCCTCACAACTTGTGTCGCTCTCTCTTTCAGTCTGTCCTCACCCTTCACTCTCCTTCATTTCCCTGCTGTAGGCCCTCCTTGAACACACATCCATACTTAGTGAGGAGGTGGTTGGAGGGTCCCTCGGTGTGGGCTGTTGTATGGTTGACCAGGCCCGTCTCTTTTATTGCTGAGAAGCAGACACACTCTCGTGTGCCGTTTTGGTCCGCTGAGATGGCTAACCTACAAGAAAGGGAAGACAGAGGTGTTTGTGGGTAAGAACGAGAACACAGAAGAACAGAGAGGGTTAAAGGATGAAGAGGAAGGACAAGCAGGAATAGCAGGCAGCTATAAAGACGGGATTTCTTTTCATCAGTTCTTCAAAAAAAAAAAAAAAGCCGACAATCCTTTCACTTTAGTTGGAAGACTGACTGTATGTGCGGGTCAGAGACCTTGTGCATTTATATGATTTGTTCACTTTGTTGTTTATGCTCAGCCACAGAGGTCTTATCTATACATAATTCACTTCTTCACTGTGTCTATACTGTGTCTGACCTTGTGTTTCAGACAACTTGGCTTGGACCTGGTCCCGAGGCGAGAGTTCAGCATGGTGGACCCGGACGAAATCAGCGTCACAGAGCTTTACAGACTGGTGAGTGGCGCTTTTTTTGCAACTAATACCAAGCCAGAGTGCTTCTTTCCTCTGTAGCAGATGCATCCAGACCATTCTGCAGCACTGACACAGTGTGATGGAGATTTTGTTAAAAAAAAAAGAACAGCACGTTTTGAAATTGTTAGCCACCAACTTGTAGCTGCAGCTAGCTTCTGGTCTGATCCAGCTATCCTTGTGTGATGTGTGAAACCGTATTAAATGGCAGATGAAATCACATTGTGCCCTTTTTCTCATCCAGGCACATCAAACTTTAAATTGCACAAAGTAAAAATTATGCAATATGACAGCTTCAGGCTCCGGAAAAATGTAGAAATCTTGGATACCAGATACTTTTGTTGTTAGGCTATTATGAAGGACTTGAAACAAGTTCACCTCGTCCCTTCAGCAACCATTTTTGAGCTTTTCTTTTCACTGGGTTGTTGCTGTATTGTAGATGTTAAAATTTCCATTTCCTCCAAGAACTTGAATCACGTCTCCGTGTTGGCTCAAACGTCCTAATTGAAAGTCCTATCTTGTAATCTTGGAAGCAGCAGTTGGCATAACGAATTCGGTGTTAGCCACTCAATAAACCACTGATATCAGTGTCTCTCCTCACATGTAGTGCAGTTGAAGGACTACATTTTTTCCTCTTCCATCTGCCTCCTTATTTCTTTCCTTCCTTTCCCTACTGTTTCCTCCCTGCTTCCCCTTCCCGCTTTCTCCAAGCCCCAGCCGCTGTTACCGTGGCAACCACTTCTCTGCCCTGGTACAGTGTAGGGAGAATGGTAGCGCACACAAACACGCGCACACACACACATGCACAGTGTGTCGGCTTTCCCTTCACAGGGGTAATTGAAGCTCTTAATCCATCTGTTTCTTTTTTTGTTAGTCAAAACAAAAGCAGGCGTCGTAGGAAGAAAGCTTAATGCACCTCTATTAAATGGCGTACAAAATGAGCAAATGACTGCAATTCCCCTATACTGGGGACAAGATAAAGGGACAGGCATTCAGCGCTGTCATCCCCATACAAAAACACACAAGACCCGCTCACACTAAGACACAACACGCCGTTCCAACGAGCCCAAATTACATCAATTATTTTTCAGTGAGATCTGGTGTTATGAGAACGGCTTCTTTTTTTTTCTTTTTCTCCTCTGTCTTGTGCTGTGCTGCTGCGGTGTGGCTTAATTAAATTGAGATGGGGATTACCTGGTGTGTGTGTGTGTGTGTGTGTGTGTGTGTGTGTGTGTGTATATGCCTGTGTGTGTGCTGAAATGGCAGTGGGGTGTTACTGTGGGAAAATGTGGCCTGTCTGCTTTATTGTGTCATGGAGTTATGTGATATCTACCCAGTGAAAATAAAAAGGACGTAGAGAAGGATAAAGGAAAGACAGGTAAATAATAAGAGGTTATGTATGTGTGTGTATTTCTAAATATATATTTATTCATTTAAAAATATTTTTGTCAATAAATATTTATTTATTTTTGTGTGTGGATACATATATATATATATATAGACACAGATTATGTATATGGATTAGTGAGGTATATGTACAGTACTGATTTTGGAAGTAATCGATATACATTATTGCTTATATTTAGGTTAGAGTTGTATTAAACAGGGAAAATGATGGGGTCATTGTTTCCTAACTGTCCCGCAATGTATTTTATAAACTGCCTTCTAACTTATGATGAAGACAAAGCTAGACTCTGCACCAAGATTTGCTCAGCTGAGATTCAAACTCTGCTACATGCGCTGCTGATAATACTGTAAACAAAGGCACTTGAGCCGCTCTGCTGGGCGAATTATGTTATCACACCTTTTCTAAATTTCCCCTTTTTTGTATCATGTTCTGGAGAATAAAGTTTTAATATTGGCATATATTGGACAAGATATGCTCTGATAAGTGACAGGCCAATATTATCGGCCAGTCGATATATCAGCAGTTCTCTAATAAATACTGTGTGTATATATAGAGTATATATATATATATATATATATCTCGGTCCATCCATTATCTATACACCGCTTAATCCTCACTAGGGTCACGGGGGGCTGGAGTCTATCCCAGCTGACTCAGGGTGAAGGCAGGGGACACCCTGGACAGGTCACCAGTCTATCACAGGGCTACACTTAGAGACAGACAACCAAGCACACTCACATTCACACATACGGACAATTTAGAATCATCAATTAACCTCAACGTGTTTTTGGACTGTGTGGGAGGAAGTCAGAGAACCCAGAGAGAACCCACGCTGCATGGGGAGAACATGGAGACTCCATGCAGTAAGACCCCAGGTGTCCTCACCGGGATGTGAACCGGCGACCTTGTAGCTGCAAGGCAACAGTGCTAACCACCGAGCCACCCTGCAGCCCCAAGAATATATATATTTACTCATTATAAAGACAAAGCTTGACTCAGCACCTCCATCTGCTCAGGTGTGATTCACACTCTGCTACATGTGCTGCTAATGGTACTGTTAACACTGGTGTTGCTGCTGGGTAAACTATGTGATAGCACCATTCCTAAATTACCACAAGCGTCTATTTCTGTGTTATGTTCTGTAAAAAAAACAAACATATATTGGATGAAATATGCACTGATACCAAAATATAAATAAAAGGCCAATAGTCTTTGCCAACTGATATATCAGTTGGGCTCTAATATACTGTATATAAGAGACTAAAATCATTTTTTGACGATTGATTAATCAGTTAATATACTCTGCATATGATGCCCAGTAACAAGGAAGATCATCTGAGGAGATCAAAGGCCACATTTTTATTCAACGCATTTGACTTTACTCCCAAAAACAAACCCTTGCCAAGCATTTTATTTGGTAATAGCTTTAAAGTAAGCAACGCTCAAGCTAAGTGTGTTCAGTGGGGGAAGCTGTCTGTAAAGCAAAGGCAATCAGCTTCAAACTTCCCGTTTTTTTTCCTCTGAGACTGGGTTCAGTGCGGAGCGCGAGCAGAGCAGACCGGAGTTTAGATCTCGCAGCGATGAATTCATTAACAGCGGCGGATCAGACGGCGGTGATAGATAGCTCAGTCCTGGCCCTGGACATGTGGTGGTAAAATGTCCTCAGTGGCTTCGTTTATCACTAAAGAGATACACTAACGCTTGAAAGCCTTCACACGCATCTTTTACTATCCACAGGTCTCCTTCCCACAAGCTTAAAAAGTGGGATAAAAAGAGGCTTAAACAGTCACGTAGAAGTGAGTGATGACGGAAGGATTTAGAAGTTTCTCTGCGGCCTCAGTTTGACCCGTCACTCCTTTTTGAAGCTCCTCGTAGTCCGACAGTCACTCCACTCCTCTCACGCTGTTTAGGGAGAAGATTACTGAGTGAACAATAATAAGACGGTTGGCCAAGCACACACATGGTCATGTCCCCTCTCTGCTCGCCTATCACCCGGCCTCTCCTTGTTGCCCACAGCATTATGTGTTGCCAGTAGGGCTGCCAGGCTGTCATGTCTATCCTTTGTGTCTAGTCATGCCGAAGCTGTCATATAACCACACAGTGTTCCCGCCGGGCAGCTTAAATGACACGCTGAAAATAACCCTCGTAATAAAATCCCACAGCATAAATTAGGCCTTCCCCAGACCTAGTCATTCTGCGTCAAAACCCTGCTGTGTATAGAAACACTGATAAAAAAAAACAAAACAGTGTGCCTTGTTGTTAGATCGTTCCCCAACTTGTTTTCTTCTGGGATTTCAGATACTATAGTGCAGAGGAGTGGGGGCAAAACAAAACATATTCATCACCCTGACAGATATTGCAATTTTGAAATGATTTGTGGTGTAATTTTTGAACACGTTTAAGTCTAACACCATGTACACATCGGTGGTTTTGCATATGTTTATATTTATATTGCAGCCCGAGCTTATCATTCACGTTTGATTTCTTACCCTTGCTGTTTATCTCGCATTTCACAATAACATGTAAATCAACTTTTAGAGTCCTAAACCTTCTCCTCCGAGGCACTGCCACTTGAGCTTTTGTTGCCTTTACTTTTTGCCAAAGTAATATTGTCATTGCTTGGTAAGGCAATCTTAGGTGTGTTCAAGTAAATTGCAATGTCACTGCCTTGGTCGTCTGCTTCCAGACAACATAATTGGTGTGGAAAGTATGAAACAGCCCATTTGAAACAGTATTATGACATCGAGGCCAAAATATTGTTTGTCTTCTATGTCTGACTTTGTGAAGAAAAGGCAAAAAATCAATCACTGTAATTTTCTAAATCCATTCAAACCAATAAGGTTAAGTCAGAATCAATCCCCACAACCACAACAGTCCAACTTCCTTGTTGATGGGTTATTGCTTCTTAGACTGTGTTTCCCCCTAGGTTGTTTTCGAAAGCAGTGCAAATGCTTTGTTTCTCAGCAAGCTCCACCAAAAGACACGTTTCTACCCTGAACTTTTTACCATATGCTCTGTTTTGTGTCTAAAAATGAAAATGAATGACCAATTTTAGAAAAACCGCTGCTGAGTCAGTCATTTTGTGGCTACAATGATCACCAAAATGTTGTTCACACCGACATACTAGAAAGATAAAATATCGTTGAAAGTCTTTTGGCATTGAATTTAACTGTGAAATTTGGATTTTCCATAACAGAATAGAACATTTTAGGAAGTAAATGAGCCGCACAAGATGGCTGATACCACCGAGTCTGTGCAGCAGCTGGTAGCGTGGCTTAGCTTAGCATGAAGACCGGAAACGGTAGCCTAACCAGACAACCAGTGGAGACAAGGAAGTTACCGATCCAACAAATAGTCTGAAATATGTTCACCAGATCATTTTAGTAAGCTATAGAGTTGTTATGCTAGGCTAAGCTAACTAGCTGCTGCCCCCAGCGACATATTGCATATATAGTTTTTACAATACACGAGTGTGGGTTGTATTTACTCAACTAACGCTTGGCCAAAAAAAAAGAAAAAGTTTCCCAAAATCTGTTTAAAAATGCAGGCAAGAAGTCACCTCTGCAGCACCATACAGCAATATGTTAAATTAACAACAAGATGCAAACAAGTCCCTCTTTACTAGAGTCCTTCTCTTTTTAAAATGTAAATTTCCTCTATTAATATACGGCACTCTGCGATAAGTCCAGGAGCTGTTTTCTCTTTGTGTCTTGCGTCTGACTCATACTACTTACATTTTAGTATTCCTTTAAGCATTTTAACGGAGCATTTCTGCATTTTCTTTATCCTTCCCCTCCTTCCTCTTCCCCCTTTACCATTTTTTTTTTAAATGTTTTACTACGGAAACGGACGTGAGGCAAAATTTGGCAGTGGCTCTACTGGCCATCTGGTGCATTGTGTGTATGTGTGCGATTGTGTGTGTTTGTGTGTCTTGTATTTCTGGATGTTGACGGCAGATTAGGACGAACCTTTCATAAGCAGACGTATAATGTCCGTGTTGATGTGGATGGTATTTTACAGCGTCTGAGGTAGCCTTTGTGATCTTTTTGATGTAGATTGATTGAATATAATAACACTGTGTAATATCATCCACTGCTCCTTTGCTTGCTTTACATTCAGCGTGAATCTCAGTGTTTGCTTACGAAGATTAAGCAACCAGTTAGAGAGGATGCAAATGAAAACACCATTATTCCTCAAGAAAATAATTACCCTCCTTAAAGATAAGTGGGTGATGCGTTCGTTGCTTTTAAACCAGTCTGAAGTGATGGAAAATGTTAAATGAATTTTTCCTAAGAAAGAGGCAATATCTGCTATATGTACGTTCAATGCCCCATTTGCTTTCTTGGCATCACCACCGCCGCCACAAAGAAACAGTCAGACACTGCAGCCCAAACTCTCACATTTTAGCCTCCGGTGCTGTCGGCAGTCTGCAATATTACACGCTTTATTAATATGATCTATATCAACAACCTCTGTATCGGAGCCTATTTTTTCGGTCTTCAAATATATATGCAAATCTGCTGCAGTGATTCCCCCTACAGTGAGATGTCTCAGAGGGATATTATTTATCTTAGAAACTCTAAATGCAGCAGCTCTGAACTGTGATTGGCCAGTATTTAAAGAAATTTCACCACATGTTGTTTTTTTTCTCCTCTGGTATTAACTGTATTTGATAAGCTTTGATCCTGCATTTGAGGATCTTTCAGGATTTAGAGCTTATGGATTTTACTGTTATTTAAACCGTACCAAATCCACCTCTTGAAACCTGTATTAGAGCAGCATTTGTTTTCACATGTTTATCATTATTTTATCCTAAATTTTCGCACTTCTGTGTAGTTGCAAATTGATATACGAAAGAGTCCCCTGCTCAGAAAATCAACTTGTGCTCTTCCCTGCAGATGGAACATCGGCATCGTAAGAAGGAGACTCCTGCGCCTGCGAGCACCCATCATTTGTCCGTCCATGTGAAGAGCCTGATGAGCGTCAATCTGGGGGAGGAGCTGGAAGTCTTCTTTCACATTTATGATGGACGGGAGAACCGACCACTCAGGTAGGGACAGTAGAGAAAATAATCTAATTTAAGGAAATAATGATGGAAAATGCATCACATTTTAACCCTCTGAACTCTAAGGAGTTTATGGGTGTTTTTTTTTAATTTGCTCCTGTCATAGTTTTCCTCATTTTGGTCTAATTTTTTACTGTACCTCTATGGAAACAGTACAGCCATGACTAGAAGTAGAGAGAAGTCCAAAATGTTTTCTGTGCAGTATAACAAAAGAAAATGAATTGCTTCTTAGATTTTTTTATTTAAAATTTTGTTTTAAAAAGCTGGAAGCAATATATATGAGTGAAAAAATGATGGTGGCTCTACATCAAGGTCAAGGTCAAGGTTACTTTATTAATACCCGTGGGCAGATTTGTTTTGCAGAAAAACAAATTATAGCATTTGGCAGTCTTTAAACAAAATACACATTGACAAAAAGACAAGAGACAAAAAAACAAAACAGTGCTCAATATTCCACCATTTGTCAATATGACAGACAGGAAGTAAAAAGATAAGATAAAATAAATAAGCTCAAGATAAGTAAAAGTAAGACACAATAAAAAACCTTTGGGAAATAAAAGATGCTATTGATATTTAAGTAGTTCCATTTTTGATTTGTTTCCATATGTCTTCTATTTGCTTTGTGTAAACACAACAGTTCAGCCCAGATTAGCTGAAAAATCTCAGAGTTTTTGTCGTTTGACTATTGGTCCCAACTAAGTCACTGATGCCTTCACAGATGCCTCAATAAATGCAATTTTTTTTTGTTTTTTACAGAATTGGCTCAGGACAAGTGGTTTATTTTTGGCACTTGTTTTTCCCGAAATATAACAATATTAACCTTAGATTTGATTTTAAGTTTTCCGAAAAAATGGCATGTCATAGGTGCGTAGTTCAATGTTATTTTGGCGATTATTAAAAAAATAAATGTAAAAAATCGCTGGCTGGATATAGGCTTCAGAAGGTTCAGCGAATAACAATATTAGCTTCATCACTGCATACGTAAGTTATCATCACTCTGCTGTGATATTTGCAGGTCTGTACAGCCTTTAAAGGTCACCACCATTCGTGTTGTTTGCTCAGATTACCTCTAGTTAAAAATCCCCATAAGGCTGCACAGTTATTGCTTTTACTAATATCCTTTGGGTTAGAAATGCAAATGAGATGAACTGGCGATTGCGGGAGGTGTCTCTAATGGCCCTCCTTCTGATGTCAACATGACTGCTGTAATTGTGTTCTTGAAGATTTATTCAATGAAGCAGGTTGTTAAAGTGCACTTGGACACATAAAAGTGGGCAAGGTCATGTCATTTTCTCATATAAAAAAAATGCCTCCACATAAAAGCGCCTGTCGCCACGGGAGTCCGCACACGTTGCGTCGCATGCATGCTCGCGCAGCAGCTCACACACACACACCACACACTCCTGATGGGGTGTCGCCCAAATTGAAGACTGCGTTTAAACTCCCCGGTTTTCAAAGTTCAAAGTGAAGAAATTCTATTTAACGTCGCAAACAAGTGGATTTGTCAGGCGAAGGAAAATGAGTGGGTTGAAAAACGAGCACGGCAACGCTGCAACTTCTTTTGATAAGTCATGCTTGTGTGACGACGCTCTCCGCCCCACGGGGTCACATCAGAGGAATAAGGGTGGCTTTGATGGGACTCATTGTTGTCTCACTTTGTGCTGCATACAGTAACCTCACTTCATGTTTCCACTGAAACGCAGTTTATTATTCACCAACGTTACAGGCGAGTTTCTTTAAACCTCGCATGGAGAATAACTGCAGTTACCTCCACCACTGGGTGAATAATAGCACACAAGATACCAGGTTCTATTTTTACAAGTGTGCCTTTCTGTTTGTTTCTCAACATGCGGTTGATCTGAAAGGAAGACGAGCAAATAGACGTGCACGTGTGCACAACCACAAGTGGATCAGAAGCACTTTTAATGAGAAAGTTGTCTTTAAATTTGCTCTCTTGTCTGCCTTTTAACTTGAACATCCAAAATCATGGTGTTATTAAAAGGTTTGGCAATAATGAAGGTTCGTTTTTTTTCCTCTGCACTTTGTCCCACAGTGTGTAATTAGTGTCCAGTGCTTTCATATTACGTTCCACTTGACGCACTTTGTCCTTCTTCTTACTATCATTATCCCTTTCTCTCTCTCTCTCTCTCTCTCCATCTTCTTGCTACTTCAAAAGATTGAGTACCTTCGGCAGGTTTGAGTAATTAGACTCCTTCAGCTCACGTTTGAAGTGGATTTACAATATGTTCTTTGAAACACAATGAGGTCTGCTTTAGAAATTCAACATATATTACAAAAACAATGAATTCATCCAAACTGAATACTCAACGATGAACAGACACAAAGCTATATTTTCCTCGTAGCAGCTCATCTCGGTGCCTCAATCAACTAATTACAATTTTTTCTTTCAGTTTTGGGGGTAAACCCAGCCATTGGCGTTCCCCATTGTTGCATTCAAGCTTCTAATTTTCTACGTTTTTGAATGATCTCGCAGTGGCAGCTCGCCAACGTTGTCTCTCACTGTCTGGTCACATACATAAACAGAGACACACAAATTTACACAATATGCCTGGCACGAAGCCATTTCACTCCTTCTCCTCTGTGCTGGTAGTTTTATGCGAATGTGCGTGCGTGCACGAGACCAGATGGGGGTCTGACCCGTTGTCTCAGTACCATGCCAACACCAGCAGACCCTGTGCACCGTGGCAGCTTCTTTGTGTTCAATACAGACTCCTTGTCAGGCTCTGGAGCAGCACGCACACAGTGGTATACTGTCCTGCTGCTTTGTTTTCCTTACCCTGGAGCTTGTTATTCCAGATCGAACACCAGCATCGCACAACTTTTTACATATTTCCCTCCTCCAAATTCTTTCACGGACATTGAGGCTCACTGGGCTTGTAAATGTGTGTGTTTTTAGCTGTTCATATGCTATTGACAGTGTGTTCTTTACCGATCCAGTGCTATTTTGTACCTTTTTTAAGACTTAAGTTTCCTCTACTGCTCAGTTTTATTCATCTTTCCACGTGGCCTCTAGGGGTTGATTTTTTTTTTGGCTAAAGAGGGGGGTGGGAGGCAGCAGTGGCAGTTAATTTATCCAGTATTTTACACGCCAGTTGCTCACTATCCCCCCCTCCTCTGCCCCTCATCGGGTTAACGCACGGCTCCTAATGCAATCATCGATATCAGGAGAGGGAATAGCGAGCGCCGTGAGGGCCCAGAGGGGAGGGAAGTCGGCCATTCATGTTATGTTAATGCGAGCGGTGATAGAGGGAGATAAGGTCCCGCTGGGGGACATCGGTCCCTTTAGCTCGGGCGATCAACACGCTGCAGCTGTGAGGCAGGAGAGCCGGTGACAGGGAATGGTGTGTAAAAGAAGCAGAGACTCGTGCGTCTTGTGTTTGCTGGAGTGGCTGTTAATTGGCAGTTGGGGTTTCAACAATAGAGCGCTAATTAGGGTTCCGGGGAGCGTGTGCAAAGTCTCATGTCTAATGCATAGGAATCCGTCTCCATATGGCTGGATAAATGGCCTGGAAAGTTACAGAGAGCAGCTAATGAGGAACAACCTCATCTAAATCAAATTGGCCTCTCAACTGGTTCATTCCAATATGGTTCGATAAAAGGGAAAACTTTACTGAAGGAATACATGTATGAAAAATCGTAAGCATTTGTATAATTAATAATCAGGAGCTTAATTAATTCAAACATGGGCACCCACTGCCCTACATATACAAAACACTGAATTACAGTGCAAGAGGCAACCTCTTATTTACATCACCGTTGAGACGTGACAAGTTTTGAGCTTGTATTAAGAGCTTTTATTAGCTCAGACTATTATAAAACATCCTAATCCATTGTCGCTGTATGCAGCATGAAGTCAAGTTATATAGGATCTGTTGGGGTAAATTCTGCTCTCGTGTGAATGGGCCTACTGTAGCTTGCGCTGCTAGCCGTGCCAGCGACTTGGCTCATTGTCAGGCGCTGGTGCATTACAAGGTTTTCTCTCTGCTTATCGGTGGACTGTGAAAGTCACCTAACTGGATTAGCCCTCAGCTCGCCAGCCAGGATGAGAGAGGCCCAGCAGGATGCCTCCGCCGCCTCTCTTAAAGCATGTGTGCGAGATAGACAGAGAGGACGAAGTACAAAGAGAGTGAAAAGGCGATCAGTGTCTGTCCTCTCTGTTTCTGCTCGACATTCACTTCAAAAGGGAGAGTGGGGGGTCATTTGAGGCCACAGTTGTTATTTCGAGACAGTTCAGTCTAGTTTATAAAGCAGCTCTTGATTTTTTATAGTTCCTCTATATGGTATAGACAGAGTATGTGCAAACAATCCAAAGAATGATTCACTGTTGTTCAGACTTCAGGCAATTTACTTTTGCAGCTGTCCCGGAATAGCTGCTGACTTCAGTGCTGGTCTGTTGCTTTAACTTATACTTTGGTGGATTACAGAGATTGCCACGACAGTTTGTACAGATATTAAAAACCGCATATTATGCTTTAGGGGTTTTCCCTGTAGTTTTTTGTGTTATAAAGCTATTTTGTGCATGTAGAATGGCTGCAAAGTTAACCGATTCTCTCACACAGGAAGCATTGGTCCTGAATTGCCCCTTTGGAAGTGGAGGCATTTCTTCTTTTACTTACCAATCTCACCGTGTAACACATTTGCATAATGCCTGTGCGGCGGCTAGTGTTGTGTGGCATGCCCTTTAACAAAGAATTGGGCCAGCTGACCAGTCGGAACAGACTGGCATGTTCTTGACGGGGCACTTTAAAGAGACAGGATCTAAAACTGAGAGTATTTGCGGATGGTGAAAAGCTGTGGTGCAGAAGTTTGCAGTATGAGAAAACTGATATGTTTTTTTATCACTGGGTCATGTAAATCTCTTTTGGTGGACCCCAAATGAAAATAATGAACCTCTAAATGAATCTAACATGGGTACATTGACTTGACATCTTGTGCCATCTTCATGCAAAATCTTTAATCAGAGATATGTCGTTTGTGGTTTTGAGTGAAGTGTCTTGATGATTATTAGATGAATTTCCAACAAAACTGGACACACACATCTCCGTCTACCAGCATCAATTTTCACATTTTCAAGTATCTTTCAACTTTTTATTTAGCACTATTATAACACCAATGGTTTGTTTAATACTGTCCTTTATGACCAGATACCTACAAACTAAAACTAGCCCTCCCATCAGTATCAGTTGCACCTTGTGTTCAGTACAAATAATCAAAAGCTAGCATGATAACATATATAACCAAAAGATGAGCATGATAAACATGTTAGCATACTGACATTATCAGTTAAATCCACAGAGCTGCGAGCATAATGGAAAGGAATGATAGAGAGGAATGTAGTCAATTGGTATGCATTTGTGCTCGTTTGTCTGTTTATCTGATTGTCTCTGTTGTTCAAGTTTCTAGCGCTTTTGCAGTCATGTCATTTTGTAGCATTATCAGCTTGGCTGTAGACTTGTTTTCATGCACTGGCGTTAGCATGACAGTTATGCTAACTAGAACCTGACCAATGCTAGATTATTGAGGCTGGTGACAATTTTTGGAGAGGAAAAAAGTATGATATTAACATATTGACACATATGTGTGATCTATGCTATGTTAGAGTTATATTAAAACAGAAATGGTGGGTAATGTATTTTGCAAAAGTTAGTA